TATTTATATTACTTTACTTATATTATATTTATCTTACTTTATATAATGTAGTTTACTTATATAGAGTGTCCCATTGTAAATACTGCATTTTAATATCTCTTCTGTAACTTGTCATAGACAAAAACTATTCAAACAAAAGCATAGTTTAGAGAGGGGCACATGAGAAAAATACAATCTTGACTTTAAATGATCTTTTCAAGATCAGATCAAAGTCATTTAAAACTTTGTAAATGAAAATTATTATTTTTTAATTTATATTCTTGTAGCTGATTTCACAAGACATTTTTAAAACACTATAACAAAGTAGTTTTTCTTTAAGTAATTTTTTAATTATGAGACTCGAAAGTTAATAGATAAAGGTTAAATCAACTTACTATCGTAAAGTAATTAAGTTTGAGACTAAAAAAACGATGACTTTGGTTGACTTTGACATACTTGTGACATCTTCAGACTTAGGTCGAGGTCATCTTGAATTTTGTTAATACATTTTTTATTCTATTTTTATATTCTACTTTTAGCGTTACCCAGAAACAACGGCGTGGACGTAATAGTTCCTGTTCCCGTTCATTTTTTGTGCTATTAGCATATTTATTATGCTAATAGCACGATAAGCAACTTGAAAGGCAAGAGAAACTAAATACGTAAATAAAGTACTCTAAAAGGAACAGAAACTACTACGTTTACGCTGTTGTTTTTGGGTAACGCTACAAGTAGAATATGAAAATAGAATAAAAAATATATTTACAAAATTCAAGGTGACCTTGACTTGAGTCTAAAGATGTCACAAGCATGTCACAGTCAATCAAAGTCATTATTTTTTTAAATCTCAAACTTAATTGCTGTAAGATAGTAAGTTGATTTAACTTTTATCTGTTAATTTTTGAGTCTCATAAATCAAAAAGTACTAAAAAAAGTACTTAATAAAAAAAACACTTTGTTATAGCCATATAGCACACAAATATTGCATATATATTGCAGGAATCTTTCACCGTAATATTGCACCAATAGTGCAATATTACCATTTTACTGTGAAATATTGATGCATCATTGTTCTTGAATTGCAGCAACGTCCGCTTCAAATGTCCGCTTTTAGGAAGATTGCAACAAATATGCAATAATGCAATGTTACTGCAATTATTAAATAATATTGCATATAAGAATAGTTTTATTTCTTATACAAAATGCATTTTAAAAAAACACATGAAGATATATGAAAGAAGGAAAAGCTTTATATAAACAAGAATACAATTTTATTATTATCATAAAATAAGAATTAATAGAGAATTATCTCGAGCTCTTTAGTGTCAAACTAATAAATATATGCAAGTCTGGTCAGTAAGAGCCGATCGCAGGATGTTGTTCATAGACAAATAGGCACTTGAAGTGCCTCGGTAGCCTAAAGGTGCCATTACACGACGCGTGGTTTGACGAGTCTGTATAAGCTTCACGCCGCTCGTACAGGCTCGTCGATTTGTCCTTTATCAAGCTCTGACTGTTCTCACGACGCGTTAATTAGCGAACTTCGCGCCACGACGCGCCGCTTGTAGTGCTGTGCGAACCATGGTGGTGTCACATTCGCTATACACGCACAAGCTACGAACCTATCCGAGCCTGTGTGAACGGATTCACGAGACAAGCCTCGACAATGGCGCGTTTTTTTTACTTGTGCCACATTTACTAACATTCGGCGGAAAGAACGCGCCGCGCCGAGTCTTGCTGCGCGGCCCATTCACATGATTCGTAGCGCGGCAAATCGCGAGCCAGACTCGTCGAATTATGCGTCGTGTAATGGCACCTTAACAGGAAAGGCGATGGCCGGGAAAGCCGAAGATTCCAGTAGTCCAGTCAAATTAGCTTCAAAAAAACCAAAATTCAGCATTAATTGTGACCTGAAAAATTCTGTGCAATTCTTTTTAAAAATGTGTAAAGAAGTATCAGCTTATAAAATGTATCAGCAACGTAAGTCGTTTTCATTGTTTAAGCAATGTTTAAAGTTGCAGAAAACGTGTTTTTTGCTTATGATATTAAAACAAAAAACGTGTTAAACAAAGTCAAATATGAGATATCCTCGGACTCTTATTGGTAATTCCAAAATGAAAATATGATGAACTGGGCGATAATAGAGTCAGTGCAGGATGGAATGCAGAAGTAAAAAACAGTATAATTTAGATGAAAAAAACACCATCAAAGTAATATACAACAATGCATTAAGATTTTACTAAACAATAATTATCCCATAAACTTTATTNTTTATTACATAAATAAACGTTTGAAGACATTGATTACTAAAAAACTGAATATAGAAACAATAGCAAATTCCGACGATAATTCTGAGAAAACCTCTTTCTTCGTTGTTCCATTCACTAATAGTAATTTTAACTTTTACAACATAAATAACCATAATTTCAAATTCAAACCAGCATATAGAAACCTAAACCAATTGTCTAAATACATAAAAACCCACAAAGATACCATTGCCACTAAACAGCAAAAGAATGTGGTATATCACATTCAATGCGAACAATGTGATTCAAGTTATGTGGGACAAACAAAGAGACAATTGGNGACCAGGATCAATGAACACCATAATTATATCACAAAAAACAAAACACAGACATCTGTTTTAGCAACACATTCCAAAGAAACAGGTCATTCTTTTGATTTAGCTTCAGTGAAAATATTAGATAAGGAAAATAATTACTATAAACGCTTAACATCTGAGATGTTACTTATTAAAAAACAAAAAGCTGGTTTGAATTTGATGCTTGACACGGATCTCTTAAACAAAATTTACTTACCATTACTCGGTAAAATAGATTATTACTACACACACACATACAGAGGGAGCAATTTTCTTTCCTCTCAGTCAATCGTTACATTTCAAATGATTTTGATCTATCCATTTCTTCTTGACATTTTGATAACACATTTGTGAATGAATTTTATAATTTGACTACTTTAAACTATTACACTTTGTTTTTTACGGTATGTACTGAAATCTTAATCTGTTTAATGTACTGAAATCTTAATCTGTTTCCTTCATTGTTATAATACACGCTTTATTTATAGAAATTGAAAAGGACTTAAAAATAAAGTCGAAACGTTTTTCATCTAAATTATACTTCTGCATTCCATCCTGCACTGACTCTATTATCGCCCAGTTCATCATATTTTCATTTTGGAAAAAACATGTTAATTTGACCAGTAGAAGCAGAGATAATCATTGATCGACTTTGAATGCGCGAAAACAATTTCGCGCGCTAGCCTTTCGCCGCTCGGCCCGGAATCGCTGCGCGCATGCGCAAGCCGTCGCGCGCTTTCAGCTGTTGCCTGAGTGTAATAACGCTTACACTTATGATTTTTTTAAATGCATTATTAATAGTAGTTTTTAAATGCATTATCAATAGTATTCAATGTAAGTGCCAATTTTTCTTCTATTACTTTGATTATTCTTCTTGACTATTTATTTTTTTCTAGTCTTAATATTGCAAATTAAACTTGCTGTGAGTTTTATAAAAAAAAACTTTTTCTCGGCTCCTGATTGGCCAAGAGCAAACTTTTTTTTTAAAAATTCGTGAAAAATGCCAGCTTTCCTAATATCAACATGAAAATATTATGCAATCAAAATTGTCAATATAATTCCATTTATTTACGAGCAAAAATGATAGATACTTTTCTACGCCATTTTTAGACAATTTACACTTACTAAATCGCTTAGCTTTTAATTCTCCAGAATAATACAATTCTATAGGAGTAAAATGAGCCCCGGCAGCTTGATGTCCACCCTCCCAAAGGTGAGGAAATTCCATTGAAAGATTACGTCTTTTTTATTGAACAAATAGATTTTGCAAAAACTAATCAATGCTTTTTTACGAAATTTTGTACACTGTTTAAGTACCTTAAGACCTACAAAAGCCAACAGTTTCAAAGACATACGATCAATTTTACGCAAATAATTAATAAGTGAAGAACAGCGTGTTTTTACCAGTTTTTTGCGATTTGTAACTTAATAAATTAACGAACCTTAACTCAACAACACTTAATCGATAGATCTTTTTAATATCTACAACTTTTATTTGAAACTTTTTTTAATCCGAAATTTTGTTTTAATATTATAAGCAAAAAACACGTTTTCTGCAACTTTAAACATTGCTTAAACAATGAAAACGACTTACGTTGCTGATACATTTTATAGGCTGATACTTCTTTACACATTTTCTAAAAGAATTGCACAGAATTTTGCAGGTCACAATTAATGCAGTGAAAAAAGCTAATTTGACTGGACTACAGGTTCGACTCTTGACTCGGAGTTTTTTTTCGCAATATTTTAAAAATTAGTTAGGGAGGTATACGGGATCTTTTTCATATATGTGATGCACACAAACCTAGCATCCTATATGATTTACAGAATTTTTATTTTAGTTCAAAAAACTCACGTGAAACATTTACACGTGAACGCATATACAGGGTGTCTAACAACGAACTATAAAGCCGGCGTGTGTAAGTAAATCGAGTTATTCTGAACAGAAAAGTTATTTACCGTTTTGCAAACTTTGCAGTAGTTATTGAAATATGAATTAATAAATGTGAGTCAATGAGAGCGCGGGAAGTGATGATCGGACTCTATAGGCGTGCACAATTATCAGCTCTACTCCTCGCTCGCCGCTGCTCGCTGCATACCGCCGAATTGCGCCCAATCGCAAGAAACTGAATCGTGCCGCGCTTTTTGTTTCCTCCGCTTCTCGTTACTAAGACTTTACATGAGAGAAGCCATTTTTCTTTTCATTTGATAATCGTGCACGCTTATAGAGTCCGATCATCGCTCCCCGCGCTCTAATTGGCTCACATTTGTTAATTCATATTTTAATAACTATTGCGAATTTTTCAAAATGATAAATAACTTTTCTGTTCAGAATAACTCGATCTACCTACACACGTCGGCTTTATAGTTCGTTGTCAGACTGTATATAAATGTATGCATATACATATATATATACAGGGTGTCTGACAACGAACTATAAAGCCGACGTGTGTAGGTAGATCGAGTTATTCTGAACAGAAAAGTTATATACCATTTTGCAAAATTCGCAATATTTATTGAGATATGAATTAATAAATGTGAACCAATGAAGGCGCGGGGAGCGATGATCGGACTCTATAGACGTGCACAATTATCAACTCTACTCCTCGCTCGCCGCTGCTCGCTGCGTACCGCCGAATAGCGCCCGATCGCAAGAAACTGAGTCGTTCCGCGCTTGTTTGTTTACTCCGCCTCTCGTTACTAAGACATTACATGAGAGAAGCCATTTTTCTTTTCATCTGATAATTGTGCACGCCTATAGAGTCCGATCATCGCTCTCCGCGCCTTCATTGGTTCACATTTATTAATTCATATCTCAATAAATAATGCGAATTTTGCAAAATCGTATATAACTTTTCTGTTCAGAATGACCCGATCTACCTACACACGTCGGCTTTATAGTTCGTTGTCAGACACCCTGTATATACGCACATTATTTCCGCACGACATCCTGCGATCGGCTTTTATTGACCAGACTTACATATATTTATTAATATATATATAAAATATACATTTATATTATATATTTATATATTTATTAATAAAATATATATTTATATTATATATATTTATAATTTAATATTTTATCTATACTTTATCTATCTATATTTTATCTATACATAAAAATATATTTTTTTAGATTAAAGTATTGTATTTGTGTTTACAAAAATACAATAGTGTGTGTATATATGTATATGTATACAGGATGTCCGACAATTACTTAAAAATCTCTCGTAGGCAGATAAAAAAAGTAAAACTGAGTCAAAAAGTCCTTAACCAGTTTTTTCTATTATTTATAATAAAGTAGTAATTATTGAGTAAATCAGGCCAATCAGCGCCGACCTTTAGCCGAACGCACGTCAGTGAACCGCGCAGAGCGCTCACGCACATCAGGCGCGCGGCTCACTGACGTGCGTTCGGCTAAAGGTCGGCGCTAAATGGCTTACTTTATTCAATAATTACTCCTTATACATATGTAATAGAAAAAAATGGTTCAGGACTTTTCGACTCAGAATAATCTTTTCTACCTGCCTACGAGCGGTTATACGGTCATTATCAGACACCTTGTATACAGGGTGTCCCAGAATTGGTGTAACATCTCTCGTGAACAAATAGACGGAGTAAAACTGAGTCAAAATGTCCTATACCATTTTGCTAAATTCGCAATAGTTACCGAGATCTTAATTAACAAAGATCAGCGAATAAGCATGCATTGGGCTGTCTTACGCGCGTAAGCTGCTCCCCGCGCTTTGCGCGCTAACGGTGTTACCCATAGCGACATATGGGAGGAGCTAATATAACAGCATATACTATACATATACATATTAAAATGTAATTGTGCGAAGCGCGCCGGGCTGTCCTACGCGCGTAAGACAGCCCGATGCACGCTTATTCGCGGATCTTTGTTAATTAAAATCTCGGTAAATATTGCGAATCTAGCAAAATGATATAGGACTTATCGACTCAGTTTTACTCCTTCTACCTGTCTACGAGAGATGTTACACCAAGTCTGGAACACCCTGTATATATATATATATATATATATAATTAAATACCATACCTCAATTTAAAAAATATATATTATTTATGTATAGCTTTATAATATATATTTTAAATAGAAAATTATTGCAAACTTTTGTTTATATAATGATTTCTCTTATTTCACATATCTTCTCATATGTTTCATCTTGAAACAGAAAATATCTTGTATAGATATGTTACAACTCTTTAAAAATACATGTATTTATTTTTAGAATTCCTATAACAAGCCTATATCGTAATGGTATCACATTTCTTTTATATACAATAAAACATTATCAAAAATTATTTCATTATAATATTTTATTACTAAGATATATAATTATTTTGATTTTACATTACAAACTTTTGTTTTTGCAATGATTCTAAAATATTACTGTACATTTTGGGTAATGCTAATGCCGACAGTACTGTAACTTTCAAGCCTTATAACTCAAAAAGTACTTAAAAAGTATTTTATTTAGTGGTTTGGAAAGCTCTCGAGGTAAACTACGAGAATATAAATTGCAATGAAAATTGAGGGATTTTGTTTAAAAAAAGGTTAAGTGACTTTGACGCAATCTAAGGTCAAATCAATAGCACCATCTTATGTTTCCCTCAAAGTCATAAAACTTTTGTCCGAAACATTTGACAATTTAAGGGTGGTTTTAATATATTTGAGTAGATCTTTTAAAATAAGACACTCTGTATATGTATGCGTATGTATATACAAAAAAAACGTACAAAAACTATATATATATATATAATACTTACGTACATGCATGTTCTTGCTACTGAACATTATCGGTAAATAATGAAAATCAAAGTTAAATATACAAATAAGAAAAACATGTAAAAAATAAGTATGATATATTAAAGCATTAGTTGCGTTCAGCAGAACTTAGCGCGTAGCAAGCGCTTTGCACTTATTGTCTGTAATTTATTTGATATATAAATAAGGCCTCTTCCTGTAAATTTATTTGATATATAAAAGTATATGCCAATGACAAGTACCAATTGCAAAGCGTTTGCTAAGCGCTAAGTTCTGTTGAACGTAACCATTGATACAAAAAAATGTTTACGTTTTATCGTCATAGCCGACCCATTGGTTGTCTTTATAAGCGTACGGAACGCGATGTTCTTTGTGACGCATAATAGTCCATCCACCCTGTTTTAAGAACTCGCAAATTTCATTGTAGCCGAGCATTCCACCTTCACGAGTGTATGGACCAGCGACACCAGGTCCAGCGCTAGGAGCTCCAAGACTATTCTGGTTTTTATCGGCGAGAGTAAATGTCCTGCCATAGAATGGTACACCAAGGATTAATTTTTCAGGTGGACAACCACTTTCCAACCAGTAGTGTACAGCCGCGTCCTATAATAGTATTGTATATTTGAATATATATTCTCGTTACTTTTGTTGCATTTAGTGAGTTCAATATTAAAAGAGAAAAAGAGAGAGAAACAGACAAACAGACAGAGAAAGGGAAAAAGAGAGAGACTATTTTAATATTTAGTATACTATTTGATAGTGCGATATGATATACGTGTTGATACATAAGAAAATGAAAAAAGCACTTACGACATTGAGTTTAAGATCATGTCCAGTTTCGCTCTTGCGCGCATAAAGCGGAGCATTATGACCCGTTTCTTTCTCCCAAGCACCGTGAAAGTCATACGACATAACATTGATGAAGTGTAAGTGTTTAGATATTGCGGCGATATCGTAAGACAAAGAAGCGGAAGTTTCGGCAGCAGCAACAGCAGCACTGAGAATAAGTCCATGTTTATCGAATTCTGTTCTTAATTCCTTAAGTAAACTTATGTAATTCTGTACATCTTCTGGTTTCCCACCACGCTGATTAGGATATTCCCAATCTACATCAAACCCATCAAAATTATATTTCTTTACAAAATCAAGAACGCTTCTGACAAATTTCGCACGAATAGTCGGATTAGCAACAACTTCAGAATATCTAGCAGATCCTTCATTCCATCCACCGATGGCAATAAGTGTTTTTGTCTCAGGACTCTGTTCGCGAAGTTTGTTAAATCTGCCGAAACCGTTCTTGCCATAATTATCGGGAAGATCTTGCCACGAGTCCAGAACTCGAACATCACCTTCCGTAGTGATACCAACAAAGCTATAAATTAAATGAGTGCAAAGATTCGGCTCAATGTAGGAAATATCAAATTTGCCACCAGGAGGCCGATAAACAGACCAGCTACCAAAATAACACACAATTTTCTCTGCAAAAAATGAGAGAAAAAATATTATTAATATTATGAATATATTAATAGAAAAAAAGAAAAAACGATCTTTTTAATTAATTGACTTACTTTCTGAGTCAGCAGCAAAAATTAAAGCAGGTAAAACTGCAAAGACAAGCATCCAATAGTTCATCTGTAAATTATTTAAGTTTAGATTAGAGTATTAAATTCAGAAAGTTTTTAATACATTGGGCCCAAATGAGGCATATGCGTTTTTCAGATTTTTTACTAGAGTTTAGATGATTGTATATGTGCGTTTTTATTTTTAAATTTTATAACTTCTATATACCTTGTTCAAGATTCTAATAAAATTTATCAGAAATTTTTAGAGCACTAATAAGTCTTGTTTAGAATTACAAAACGTTTTTTGAAAGTTTTCAAAAATTGTAAGTTTTAAGCTATAATTATTTTTATTTGGTTTTTATGTATGGCAGAGCACAAATGAATATTTCTTTAGTTTATCAAGCAGTTCTGTGCATAAAGCTGTGACCTTAGTAGCCTATGATAACATGTAAAGAGGATAACGCACACAAGCAAACCGACGTACATGTGACTCAGCGCATTAAAATTGTTTTTTTTTAATCGTTAAACATTTAAATTGTTAATTTTTTCAAAAAAATAAAAAAAGAGAAAAAACGATAAATATGCATTTTAGGTCACACATCTCCGATTTCGATGTGCTTCAGATATGTTATAGGGCAGGTAATACCGAGTAATTATGTGAAAAAATTTCGTGGGGGACGGCCTTGGGCTGTGTTTAGTTAAGCAAGATGGAACGAACTAATGGAGGAAATGCAGGAAATACAGGAATTGGAACTAATGAATTCCTGTATTTCCTGCATTTCCTCCATTAGTTCGTTCCATCTTGCTTAACTGAACACAGCCCAGCCCTGTGCTCAGTTAAGCAAAATGGAACGAACTAATGCAGGAAATGCAGGAAATACAGGAATTCATTAGTTCCAATTCCTGTATTTCCTGCATTTCCTCCATTAGTTCGTTCCATCTTGCTTAACTGAACACAGCCTTGGTTTAGCAGATATGGCAGTTCAAAGTTTCGGAACAATATTAGTATTTTTGTTCTTTTCGTTCGTGTTGTGAGCGTGTAGACAGGGAGGTTGCGCCCTCTTGCATTCCCCCCAAAACCTAACCTAACCTAACCTCTAAAAGAAGCTTTTCACAAGAAGCAAATGTAATTGGAAATCGTTATTTTTTTCCGAGGGGGGTTACGACTTCCGATTACATTCGCTTCTTGTGAAAAGTCGGTACTTGATTTTCGAAGAGGGGAGCACGGGGAGAGGCGAAGCCCCTTTCGGAGGTTAGGTTAGGTTAGGTTTTGGGGGGGTGCAGGGGGGCGCAGCCCCCCCTGCCTACGCGCTTCAAAGGCGAACGAAATGTACGTGGGACCGAAAAATAAGAATTCATTCGTGAAACTTCTTCCCCTTGTAACTTTTTAACAAACAACGACCCCCGCCTGAAACCTTCACATTCGGGACAATGACCTTCACAACATATATAAAAATTATTGAAATTGGAGGTCGCTCCCCTAATCTGCACTATTACCATAAAAATATAATGAAAAATACCTCACGACAGAAATTAGACCAATCGACAACAGTGTGTGATTGAATATTCAGTTCATCGCTGAGAAACAAAGCTATTAACAAACTGCGAGGAAGTGAAACGGAATCTTGACCTTGTAGCTTTGTTTACATTCCTCAACACATCAGCCCGACATACACAAACTTAACTGTTCGTAATAACAGCTTGTAATATCTAGAATAAAGCATTAAAATTCTGAAACTTCAAATTGCCATATCTTTTTAACTAAGGCCGTCCCCCACAAAATTTTTCTACACAATCACTCAGTATGACCTGCCCTACAACATATCTGAAGCGCAAAGAAATCGGTGATGTGTGACCTAAAATGCATAATTACTCTTTATCAACCAAACTTAACTTTATCAACTTAACTTTATTCATCTTGATATGATGATGGAACTCTTGAATTCCAATAATCTCAGAAAACACGTGAAGAATTGAACTAAGAGAAATTCATCATAACTCATAACGATGTTGCGAATGCAATTATAATATAAATCTATTTGTAAATGCCAAATAAAAATTTTTACGTCGACTCTACGTAAAGTTTCACAAATCTCTTTTTAGCTTTTTTCACAAAAACAACTTTTTTCACTAAATATTCAATTTTGACAACAATTTTGACTTTTTTAATTACTTATTTGTTATTTTATTTATTGACCATCAAATATTACTTTTTTATCAATCGAATATTACTTATATAGAATTGACACTTGGCTACGATCTTGCCTGCCAAGAAAAAAACAGAACTGATCTTTACACTTAATCCTATCGTTTTGTAATGTGAGTAACGATCATTTATAATATTACAAGTTCATGTTTATTATCAGTTTTCTTTTTCTCTTTTTCTTTTCTTTTATATTAGTTAGATGTATTTTTTTTTTTATATTAGATAGGTGTATTTTGAAAAAGACCGAATACAACGGTCAAAACGTCAATTATGTTAACTCAAGAATAAATTACTAAAAAAACTGCAACACATCATTATCCGTCTTCGTATGCTCTCATTGGCCTGCATCGTCTACTCATTTATATGTATATACACATGGTGTCCGACAATTAGTGTAAAATCTGTTAAAGTAATTGTTGAATACCTTGTATATATATATATATATATATATATCCAGATAACATTTCTTGCGTGCAAGATTCGCGCGCGTTAAGTATGTAAATCTTGTATGTGATTTGCCTGAATTTTGTTTGTGAACATATTTTATCGCGCACACGCGTGCATATTGCGCACAAGAAACTATCTAATATCTATCCAATATACTAACAAATAACGCGCAAATTGCTAACATATTGCAAGTTATGTACTCTTAAGTTGACAGTGTCTCACATACTTACAAGGGGACCTTCAGAGAATAAGAGATGTTCCCTTCCGATTTGGACGAGTCTTATACATATTGCACTGAGAGAAAAATGCTTGGTATTTACGACTATAATTGCATAGTAAAATAATTATAGTTGGAATTCTTATTTTTATCGTTAATATTGCTATAATATTAGTAAAACTAACCTTATATACATGGTTTTGACAAGTATGTAAAAATTTTGCTATAAATTATAATAATTTTAACTAGTAACATAGT